TGGGTAAAGTTCAGCATCGTGTGGACCATTTTCAAATTCCAAGCGAGCGTACAAAAAGCAGTCCTGGTTGTGCACAAAAGCTCTTGTTTATTCAACAAAAGTCAATGGGGAAACATATAGCCGAGAGTGGCTTGTGTATTCTCCCTCAAAAGGCCGGATTTATTGCTTTGTTTGTAAACTCTTTCCAAACGTTGCATCTTCTGCTACAGCTTTAGCTTCTGAAGGGTTTGATGATTGGCATAACTCCTATCTTATCCAAACTCAGAGAAGCACAGGAGTGCCATGTTAACCTACCTAACAAGGAAGCGAGGACAAACATTAACTTCAAAGCTAGAGGAACAAATAAAAGCAGAACAACAGTACTGGCGGCATGTCATGGAGAGAATTATCGCTGTAATATGCACTCTTGCAGAACGAGACTTACCATTCAGAGGAAACAATGAACAATTAGGATCGCCAGATAACGGCAATTATCTTGGTCTTTTAGAACTAGTAGCAAAATTTGATCCATTTTTTACTCGCTCATATCAATCGGTATGAAAATTCCGGATCAGGAAATACCTCTTATTTGTCAAAAACTGTATGTGAGGAAATGATTCAACTCACGGCAAAAAAAAGTTAAGGACGCAATTCTGAGTGACGTGAAAAAGGGTGGATATTTCAGCTAGTCAGTAGATCCCACCCCTGACATTTCACATACTGATCAGTTGACTTTAATTATCAGATATGTATCGCCTGAAGACGGGTTACCAAGTGAGAGATTTTTAACTTTCCTTGAGCTAAAAGACCACTCAGGAGAAAGCATGGCTGATTTAGTGTTTAACTATCTTACTACTGAGCTTGAAATTGACTTTAGAAAATGCCGAGGGCAGTCTTACGACAATGCTGCAAACATGGCTGGTAGGCACAACGGTATGCAGCAAAAAATACTCGAAAAAAACAAATTTGTAAGTTTTTTTCCATGCGCTGGTCACTCTTTAAATTTAGTGGGCCGTTTGGCTGTTGATTGCTGCCTTGATGCAGTGAACGTTTTTGGCATTATCAATGAAATTTATACCTTCATTTCATTCTCCACAAAGAGATGGGCAGTTCTAAAATCATTTTTGTAACTTCAGTAAATGTGCCTAAATATTTGTCAGACATTAGGTGGGAGGCACATGCAAAAGCCACAGAAGCTATTTTGGAAGTTACAGAGCTATCACTGATGCCCTCAGTCACTTGTACTCTGATGTTAATGAGAAGGGTGATACCAGGCTTCAAGCTAACAATCTTATGCAGAAAATGAAAGAACTGGAATTTGTGTTTATGCTGCATTTTTGAACCCGTGCGCTACATCATTTTCAGAAGGTCAGCAA